ACACACACACACACACACACCGCACAGGTGCTGCCTTCTCTCACAATAAGGGGAGCGTGTCTGTGTGTGTGTGAGAGTGGGAGCGAGACAGAGTGGGCGGAAGGAAGGCTAAAGCCCAGGAAGAAGAAAAAAAAAAAGGAAAGGAACAAAGGGGGTTTGCATAAGGAAACGTGGAAGATACAAAGGAAAAAAAAAAGGGAGAACAAGGAATTCGAACACATCAATAGACGATTCATTGCCAGCTGTGGGCAAGCCTCGAAAGAAACCCGCCCTCCTCCCCTTCAACAATGGAGCAGGCAGGACTCGTGGCGGTGGAATCCCAACTGTTTAGTGTGGCGCACCGGCACCTACAGGTGTCCTTCGGGGCGACGAAAGTAACGCGCGGCGATGATAGCGTGGTCTTTGAGCTCTCGCCGCTCGAGGAGGGTGAGGGCCGTCTGGGCGAAGAGGTGCAGCGGCTCTGCACAATGCTCGTGCGTGAGGTGACTGGACGCACAAGCCTCCACCTCACCGGTGAGGACAGCGAGACAGATATCGTATCCCTTAAGGCGAACATGGTGTCGTTCAGCACATTCATGGCGGACGCTGCCAGCCTTGACACGCCGCCGGCGGAGTTAGAGTCGCTACCANAGGCGAACATGGTGTCGTTCAGCACATTCATGGCGGACGCTGCCAGCCTTGACACGCCGCCGGCGGAGTTAGAGTCGCTACCAAGCGAGCCGCATGTGCAGCAAATGCTGGAGATGCTCTACACCGACGTGGTCTCGGACGCAGCCAAGGGGGCACGCATCGTGACGAAATTCCCCAAGGCCATGTGTCCCACAGGTGTTCGGCTCGACGTGCTGCTGGCAAAGGCAGTGTGCGTTCAGGTGTTCTCCAAGACAGAGGAACAATTGTTGCCGGAGAAGCCACAACTGGATATGGATACGGCCATGTTTGCGGCTTCGGTGTCCACATTTTCACTGCCAAAAGGACCGCTCATGAAGGTGTGGATCGACCTGCGAGCATTGGCGAACGCCATCTCCTCGTACTCCACGGCCTCTATCGAAGGCGAGCTCCCGTCGCAGTGGCGCCACAAGTCTATGGCCCTGCCGGAGGCGTCGGAGGTGCTGAAACTCGTCCATGCCACCCTTCGCTCATACTGGAACCGCAACCCGAGAAATGAACGCACAAAGGTAAACGCTATGTCGCTACTGTTCATTGTCTCGGGCGACCTGCGGGAGTACATTAAGAGCCAGATCCTGCTTGAGAGCTCCGACTGGCGGGGCCCGTGGCGCATGAACCTCGATCATCTCGAAAAGGCCCTGGATCTCATCAAGGAGTGGAACGCCATGACGCGGGCGCTTCTGAAGGAGGAGTGGACAGGCTGGGACGGTGGCCACTTCCATGACCAGTCACTTGAAAACTTCACCAGTCGACTACAGGATGTGGTGCGTATCCGGCAGCTGCTGGTAAGCGCGTCGAAGCTTGCACAAGGGAATCTGCAGGACGGCATCGCACCGGAAGTCATATTCGAGGAAGAAAGCCTCACCGATAGCAAAAAGACGCCGAACGAGCGGTGGGCAAAGTGTACGGCCAAGTTTGAGAAGGAGTTTTCGTTTCTTGAAGACAACCTGCGCGGCCGTGTAAAGCAATTGTTCAACAGCCAGCAGCAAGGGCCTGACGGGGCCATCCGTCTGTTGCAACAGCACCGGATGCTGCTTCGGCGTGAAGGTATTCGAAGTGGAATACAAAAGGAGTTGGAGTCTGTCCGGGAGATTCTTCTTCAGCAGCTGCAGAAGGTGCGGGCACGATTTGACAACAACAAGCTCCGTGCCACAACCGACCTACAGATGCTGCGTATGCTCAAGCGTTTCCGGGCGGAGTGTGCACAGGTAGCGGAAAATGCCGTGAAGCTCTTTGGATCGACAGAGGACCTCAATCAAATTGTAGATGCCGCAAGAACGATCATGAAGGAGGCGGAGCAGAACGAGCATGAGGTGCTGGTGTCGTGGAAGCAAAGCACGGAGACGCAGTGCAAAAAAATGATGGAATTGCCAGATGCATTCACGATCAGTTGTACTAGCAAGGACTACGTCGTGTGCGCGACGCACGCGTCGGTGAAGCAGTTCTTGCTGGAGGTCCACAGTGTACGCAGTTGGTGCGGTGACGACGGCACTAAAGGCTCCAAGGAGGCGCTACTGAGTGAAGAAGCAGAGAGCACCGTGGTGTCCTGCGAGCGGCTCAGTGAGGCGGCGACACGCACCATGCAGATTGTGAGTAACTACAACACTGTGCAGCGTCAGATGTTGTGTTGCACGCGTCCCATACTGGAAGTTGCGTCAGCCCACGCGTTGTCGCAGATGCTTTACGAGGGCGCTGACAAGCGCGTCGTCCCCCTCGCTAACTACCACGAGTTGGAGGCACTCAACATGCGGTTCCAGAACGCGGTGGAGGGGCTCAGCAACGACAACCGTCGTATACGCCGCTTCCACTGCGACTTTATCAGCCAGGTGATCGCGCTGCGCAATGTCGATCTTGCACGGCACATGGACCAGTGGCGCACTGCTGTGGATGGTATGCGGAGCTCCTTCGAGGAGTTCTTGCACAGCCACCACTTTGAGCACTACGATATGTGGCGGAAGCATCTTGACGCGCAGATCTACAAAGCTCTGGAACACCAATATCAGCGTGGCCTGGAGAGCCTGCACGAGAAGATGGAGGAGTTCAAGGTGGAGCTTGTCTTCAAGCAGGGGCAGGTGTATTTTAAACCCAGCTTCGAGGCGATGCGGGAGGCGTACTACGTGAAGCTGCGGGAATTTGTTAGTGTGCCGCTGCGCTTCCGCGGTCTACAACCCAAGCGGGAAGGTGGTGGTCTGTACGAGATGTACCCGATAATGCCGCTCGTCAACAAGGCGCGCCTCGTCATGGTGCATTTGAAGGCGATGGAGCTCTTCACGAAGCTCAACCGTCTGCGGAAGGCCTTTCGATTGTACATGGTAGTCGGGGCCTGTGGCGTGAACGGTGCCCCTGACATTGACACGCTGGTGGAGGAGGCCTGCAAGACGTTGCAGCAGTTCATAGACGGCTTCGCTGTGGTCAAGGAGCAAGAGCGGAAACTGCAATGCATCGAAAATAGCATGAAAGTGGACTGCTTCACAATCAGCTGCATCCCAGTAAAGGCAAGCATGGAAGAACAGCTGCGGCGCCTTGAGGAATCACTGCTGAATGCAATGCGGAAGACACTGCACAAGACTCTGGGTGACATTGACTCCTTTGTGTTCAACGCCTCCAACATTATTACGCGCCAGCCCACCACGATGGACGAGGTGGGGCAGGCGAACAAGGCGTACTATGAGTTCTATGAGACAATGCCATCGTATGAGGCCAAGTTCGCCGATGTAGAGGCGATGAACCGTGTCCTGCGTCAACAGTCAGGCACCGCCATTGACCTCGGCGCCACCAAGTCACGCTGGGAGCATCTGCGCGAGGCGATGGCATCGCACCATAAAATTATTGATGCCTCCGTGTCAAAGATGCGGGTCTCGCTGGACAGCATGATCCAAAAGCATATCAAGGACGGGCAGCGTTTCGCCAGCAAGTGGACAAAACAGAAGCAGCAGCTCATTACTGCCTTCAAGCAGAAAAAAATGGAGCAGATTGAAAAAATATTGGCCGCGATGAAGGACCAGTTCAGTGAGCTGGAAGATCTCAAAACGGAGGGAAATGACCTCATGTCGAAGTGTGAATACTTCAAGCTCCCGCCCCCTAACTTCCAGCAGATGAACGCCACCATAAAGGACGCGACGCACACTGCCGCCATGTGGGACCTCTACGACGTCTTTGGCAAGAGCCTGGAAGTGCTGCGCAAGGAAGACTGGCTGACCTTCCGCTCCCACACATATATGTTTGACGACTTCATCAAGGAGTGGCGGGAGAAGGTGTCATCTAGTGAGAACGGGGGAAANGAGAAGGGTGACAGCGGTATCATTGCACAATACTTGCAGGACCTGCTCAGTGAGTGGACCGCATGCGTTCCACTGCTGCGCTTCGTCCGCGGCGAAGGCATGATGACGGAACACTGGAACGAGATGTTCCGCCTGCTGGAAATGCCGAAGGGGGTGAAGAGCGCGGAGCTTACCTTTGGCGATATCCTCGACCACCACAAGCAAATAATTGCGAAGGAGCAGGAGTTGAAACAGCTTCATGCGAGGGCGCAGGGCGAAGTGCAGATACGCGACGCGCTGCAGGATCTTCGTGCATGGGCGTTGGAGGCCACCTTCACACTCATCACCCCTACCGACGCGACAGTGCCAGTCAAGGTAAAACTTATCACCGACTGGAAGGAGATCATGACACAGGTGAGCGACAACCAAGCCCTCATCAGCTCCCTCAGGGACAGCCCCTTTTTCCCCCACTTCGCGGATGAGATTGGCGGGTGGGAGGTGAAGTTTACGACGCTATCGGAAGCGCTCATGCTGCTCAGCACAATACAGCGGAAGTGGACGTACCTCGCGCCCATCTTTGGCCGTGGTGCTCTGCCGCAGGAGCAGGCGCGGTTCAAACGCATCGATAAGGAGTTTCTGTCGATTCTGCATGAGGTTGAGGCGGATCAGCGTGTGATGACCATCGCCTCACAGACAGATATTGTAGATCGATTAAAAACCATTTTAGAGCAAATCGAGCGTTGTCAAAAGTCTCTCATTGAATTCCTTGAGACCAAACGAGAGAGCTTCCCGCGCTTCTACTTTATCAGTGACGAGGATATGCTAGAAATCCTTGGTCATAGCAAGAACCCTCCTGTGATTCAGGCACACCTGAAGAAGCTTTTCATGGGCATTCATTCAGTTGTATTCAGTGAGGATCAAAATGCAATCACGCACATGGTGTCGGCCGATAGGGAGGAGGTGACACTCATGCACCCCGTCTCCATTGAGGACGATGATGTGGAGAAGTGGTTAATACGCCTAGATGATTGCATGAAGGAGACGCTGCACGATCTTCTTGTTGCCTGTGTTCAAGTGAAGGATACAACTGCAGAGCCTGAGATTGAGACATACCCATCACAGATCCTGCAGGTGGCGTTGCAGGTCCACTTCGCAAGGCAAGTGGAAAAAGCGATTATGACAGGACATCTGGCGAAGTTGGACGAGATGCTGCGGAATCGCCTAAACCACCTGACGCGGATCTCCGCCGATGTGAACAGTGTGACAATGCTAAAGGTGAAGGCCCTCATTCTCGACGTCATCCATCAAATTGAAATTGTTGAGTTGTTAGTGGCGAAGGATGTGAAGTCGTTGAGTTCATGGTGGTGGCAGAAGCAGCTGCGGTACTACATGGATGATGGTCATCATTGCACTGTCGCCATGATGGACACGGTCTTTGACTACACGTATGAGTACCAAGGCAACGCGGCAAAGTTGGTGCACACCCCGCTGACGGAGAAGTGCTATCTTGTGCTCACAAAGGGCATGGACCTCGGCTACGGCGGCAATCCCTATGGGCCTGCTGGTACCGGGAAGACGGAGTCTGTCAAGGCGCTAGGGAGTGTAATGGGACGGCAGGTGCTGGTGTTCAACTGTGATGAGGGCATTGACTTCAAGGCCATGGGTCGAATCTTCATCGGCATAGTGAAGTGCGGGGCATGGGGCTGCTTTGACGAGTTTAATCGTCTCAAGATTGATCAGCTGTCTGCCATTTCACAGATGATTCAGATTATTCAGGGAGCGATCAAGAATCAGGAGCCGACATGTCAGCTGCTTAACCGTGTTGTGCAAGTAAACAAGAATGCTGGTATTTTTGTCACCCTCAATCCAGCAGGGAAGGGCTACGGTGGGCGAACCAAACTGCCAGACAACTTAAAGCAGCTGTTTCGCGAGGTCGCCATGAGTGTGCCAGACAATGAGCTCATCACCTCCACCATGCTGCTGGCCGAAGGCTTCACACATGCCAAGGCTCTGTCAACGAAGATTGTGGAGTTGTACCGCCTCTCTGGACAACTCATGTCGAAACAACAGCATTATGACTGGGGTCTGCGCTCCCTGAAGGCTGTTCTACGCCTTGCTGGGACGCTGATGCAGAAGTGGAAAACAGAAAATGGGGTGAATGTAGCCTCAGAGACCCAAGAGGCGGAGCTGATTCTACAATCTCTGAACACGAACATGCTAAGCAAACTCACCTTTGATGATGCTCGCCTCTTCCGTGGGCTGACGGTGGATGTGTTCCCGCAGGTTACCGCCAACGCGATAACGTACGGGGAACTTGCCGGAGCTATTGAGGAGGCTGTGCGAAAGTTGCAGCTCCAGCTTATCCCGGCTCAGATCAGCAAGGTGCTGCAGTTGTACGAGACCCTGAACCAACGCATGGGAGTCGTGCTGGTTGGCCCAAGCGGAAGCGGCAAGAGCACACTGCTCCGCATCCTCCGCAAGGCGTTGAAGCTTCTGCATGTGGAGGTGCCGCTGCACGTAATGAACCCCAAGGCGGTTTCGCGGCGGCAGCTGCTCGGTTACATGGACCCCGACACGCGGGAGTGGTACGACGGTGTCCTCTCTGCTGCAGCACGGGAGGTGGTGAAGTGTCCGAAGGAGTTTAGATCGTGGATTCTGTGTGACGGTGACATCGACCCGGAGTGGGTGGAGTCTCTAAATTCGGTACTCGATGACAATAAGTTGTTGACGCTCCCGAATGGTGTCCGCATTCAGTTTGGAAATAACGTTAATTTCCTTTTTGAAACACACAGTCTGGCCTACGCATCGCCTGCTACCGTTTCACGTATGGGTGTCATCTTGTTATCTGCGAATGATGTCAGTGTAGAGAGCGCAGTGGAAACATTCTTGAAGAAGCAGTCACCTGAGCGTCGCGAATTTTTTGATCCACTTATCAAGAAGTATCTCAGCCCAGCCGTGGACGAGGTGTTGAAACTTGAAGCACTCGTCGTGCCAACCACACGCATGGGTCTTCTTAACTGCGGTTTGACGCATGTTCTGAACGTCATCAACGAGGAAGACTTCGTTCTCTCGCTAATGCGAGGCCTCTGTGGGGTTCTGCGTCCCTCTGGCGCCCAACAGATAGCGGCATTTCTCTTTGAAAAGAGCAAACTAAGTCCCATCTCCAGTAAGCGCCCGTGCGACACGTACTACGACCGAGAGAAGAAGCGTCTTGCGGAGTTCACAGCCGACCTCCGCGTGGAGGTGACTCCCGAATCGCTCCTCAGGGGCGCGGCAGTTGTCAACACTGTCGATATGCAACGTCTGCTGACGACACTCGGTCCCATCATGGCCGATCCCAACTGTCGACCACTGTTTCTTATAGGCCCAGAGGGCTGCGGAAAGAGTGTCGCGCTGCATCGCTGCTTCGCCAGCTACCCAGGCATCCGCACAACAGTCCTCCACTGTAGCGCACAGACAACATCGCTGCATCTCATTCAGAAGCTGGAGCAGTTATGTGTTCTCTCCAGTACTGCCACAGGCCACTCGTACCGCCCCAAAGAGGGTGAACGGCTAGTGGTCATCCTGAAGAATGTGAATCTCCCCAAACCCGACAAGTACGGCACAGTAGAGCTCCACGCTCTCTTGATGCAGTTGATCATGTATCACGGTTTCTATAACAGTGATCTTGAGTGGGTAAGCATTGAAAGAATACAGTTCGTGGCAAGTATGAATCCTACGACATCTGCTGGGCGCTATGCCGTTGCCCCTCGACTCCTTGCCATTGTGTCTATAGTGTACATGTCGTACCCATCACGTTCTGGTCTCGTACAGATCTACACTACATTCTTCACCTCGCTGCTGAATAGCACAGGTGTGGGGCAAGGAAATGGTTACGACAACGGCAGCGTGTTGGCTCAGTTTCTGATCGCTGTTTCAGATAAGATTCGTAGTCATTTCGAGGGTGAAGAGCACGCCCACTTCTTATTCTGTCCCCGTAGTATCTCCAACTGTGTTACGAACCTCCTCATGTACGACATTGACCCACGGACGACGTCGCTTCCAGCAGTCTTAGCCCATGAAACATTATGCATCTTTGCGGATTGCCTCTCACGGCCTGAAGATCGTCGGAAGGCCGAGAAGATAATATCGGAGCTGCTCGCAACGATTGGCTACTCACTGCCTTCAAAGGAGGAGGCGAATCCCATCATGTTTGTCTCGTGGTTTAGCGAGGAAAATGAACGTGGGGTGCGGCTGCTTAAGGGAGTGCCGTATGGCACCATCGCCGCAGAGGTGGAGCGTGCGCTGCTGAAGTACAGCCGCGAGTTCAAACAACTCAACGTGCACATCATCCCCGAGGCGCTGGCGTGGATCACACGCGTAGACCGCGTGCTGTCGCGCCCGTGCGGCCACCTTATCCTTGTTGGGCGCCCGGGCGTGGGTCGTCGCAACGCTGTCTGCCTCACGGCATACATGTCACGCATGGAGGTTGTGACCCTCAACATGATGCAGGGATACAGCGTGAAGAACTTCCGACAGGACGTGCGACAGTTTGTGCAGCGCGCCACCACACAGAATGAGCGCATGGTGCTGATTATCGATGAACATAACATCGTCGATGAGAGTTTTCTCGAGATTATCAACGGTCTCGTGAGCAGCGGTGAGGTGCCTGGGTTGTTTACACCGGAGGAATTAGAGACTATGCTCGCCCAGCTGCGGGAGGAGGCGGCGAGTGATGGATACATTGGCACCATCTACTCGTACTTCCTGCAACGCCTGCGGCGCAACCTGCGCATCGCACTCATCATGGACAACCGTCATGCGCTATTTTTGGTGCGTCTCCAGTCAAATCCCGGCCTCACGAGCAACTGTGATTTGCTATGGATGGGAACGTGGAGTAACGACGCCACACGCACAATCTGTAAGAAGCGCCTGCGTTCTGTGATAAAGCGCATTGAGGAGGATCCAGCGAACAAGGGATTTCACCTCCACCGCGAGCTCTTCGCCGTGCATGAGGCGTTTGGCGACGAAGCTACACCAGGTCGCTTTCAGGTACTCATGGAGACGTACGAGTCGGTGCTGGAAAAGAAGAGTGAGAATAGTCTGACGGATTTGAAGCGTCTCGAGGCTGGTCTCGCCAAGCTGCATGAGGCGGAGATGAGTGTGGAGAAGATCCAACGCGACGTGACGCGCAAGAAGGAGGAAGTTGAGGCGATGCAACACGAGGCCGACAAGGCCCTGACGCAGATACAGAAGAAGATGGAGGAGTCGAAGGAGCAACGCGACAGTGCGACGGAGCTGCAGGAGCGGTTGAAGACCGAGCACGAGGAAATCCTGGTGAAGCGACAGAAGGTGGAGGATGAGCTGAGTGGCATCAAGCCCTCGCTCGAGGCCGCACGCGAGGCGGTCAGCTCGATTCGCAGCGAGCAGCTCAACGAGATCCGCTCGCTCAAGGCACCGCCGGAGCCGGTGCGCGACGTGCTGGAGGGCGTGCTCGCTTTGCTTGGCGTCACGGATGTGTCTTGGCAGTCGATGCGAAAGTTCCTCGGTGAGCGCGGGGCGAAGGAGCGCATTCTTGACTTTGACGCGGAGAAGGTGACATCGGCCATTCGCGAGAATGTCGCGCGGCTGCTGCATCAGAAGGCGACTTCGTTTAGGCCGGAGGTGATTCACCGCGCATCAGTCGCGGCGGCGCCGATGGCGGCGTGGGTGAGGGCGATGGTTGACTACTCCACCATCCTTGAGCGCATCGCACCGCTCAATCGGCAGCTAAAGCAACTAGAGGCGCACCAGAAGGAAGGCGAGGAGCAGCTGCGCGCGCTCAAGAAGAAGCTGAAGCAAATTGACGAAGCGGTTGAGGAGCTGCGCCAGGAATTCTCCAAAAAGTGCAAGGAGGCGGAGCGGCTTAAGGACGCACTGGAAGAGGCACAAACAGAGTTGCACAAGGCATGCGAGTTACTTGAGAAACTGAGCGGTGAAAAAACGCGTTGGGCACAAGATGTGGAGAAGATTCAGGTGAATAATCGCCTGCTACCGAAGCGGGCCCTCATTGCCGCCGCATTTATGACGTACATAGCGAAGGAGACTGAGGGTGTGCGGCAGCGATACTTCAAACAGTGGTCAGACCGCCTCAACTTCCCGTCGATGGAGACGGTGACAGGATTCATGCGGGGCGAGAGCGATCTGCTGCAGTGGAAGAGCGAAGGCCTGCCAGGCGATGACCTCAGCCAAGAGAACGCCGTTGCCATGCTCGATGCGGTGCAGACACCACTCATCATTGACCCGGCGAATCAAGCCATTGAGTGGATTAAGACACATTTGAAGACCAAAAATGTCGTAGCCGAGGTGACGTCAGTGCATGATGAACGCTTCGCCCACACATTGGAGCTCGCTGTGCGCTTCGGCAAGACATTGCTCGTCATGGATGTGGATGGCATCGAGCCTATCCTTTATCCTGTCTTGCGGCGCGATCTGCTTTCGGCAGGCGCCAAGCGTGTGGTGCAGGTTGGAAACAAGCAGGTGGACTGGCAGGACACGTTCCGCATTATGCTATTCACGCGGCGTACAGACCTCACGCTTCCACCAGGCGCCGCAGCATTGGTGCTGGAGGTAAACTTTTCTGTTACTAAGTTTGGCCTGGAAAATCAGTTACTGGGAGTCACCATCCAGCATGAACGTCCCGAGCTTGAGAAGCAGCGGGTAGAACTGCTGCAGAAGGAGGAGAACCTCAAGCTTGAGCTCAGCAATCTAGAAGTGCGGCTGCTGAACGACCTCGCAAGCTCACACGGCGGACTGCTAGAGAACACTGCTCTCATCACTGCCCTCAATGATGTCAAGACGCAGGCTTCCAGCATCAGTGAAGCCCTGCAGCAGTCCCACGCTTTGCAGGTAGAGCTTGACGAAAAGCGTGATGTGTATCGTCCATTCGCCAGCAAAGGGGCCACAATCTTCTTCCTTGTGAAGGATATGGAGAAGATGAATCGTATGTACCACTTTGGGCTCAACGACTTTGTTAGTTTGTTCGTTGACTGCCTGAACGCGTACAAGGGGGAGACAGACGTGGAAAGCAAGATATCCCAGCTCACCCTCAACTTTGCGCAGAAATGCTTCTACCACGTTAGTCTTGGTTTGCTGAAGCGCGATCGCCTCGTGTTTGGGATGCATCTCGTCCAAGGCTTCTTCCCCAATACATTTCCTACATCCTTGTGGAACGTGTTGGTCGGCATCACTACCAGCAGCAGCAACGATGTTGCACTTCCCTCGTGGGCGCCGCCGACGGCACGTGTAAAATTCGCCTCCATCGCATCTGACAAGACGGCGGCGGAGTGTATGCAGCGATGGCAGCTGCACGACGAGCAGCGTTGGAGTAGCTGGATGCAAGAGAGTACGCCAGAGGAAAGCCTCTCGAAGGATACCAGCCTTACTGTGATGGATCAGCTGCTTCTCATTAACACCTTCCGTCCCGATCGCACAACGGCCTTGCTGCACCGTGTCATCATAGACTTACTTCAGCTCGACACGCTTGTGCCTATCACATCACTTGAAGAGACAATCAGCCGCGGCAAGGCCGACACACCCATTATTCTTATTACTTCGACAGGCGCAGATCCGAGTCTGGAGGTGCAGGATGTTGCACTGCGGCTTGTGGGGAGGCAGCGCTTCACGCAGATTGCGCTGGGCGGTGGTCAGACTGAGGATGCGATGCTGCACATTCGTCGGTGCGCTGCCCAAGGTGATTGGCTCTTCCTGAAGAATCTCCATCTAGTACTAGACTGGGCGACAGTGTTGGAGAAGGAGCTGAGTGTGATGCCAAGTCCAAACGCGGATTTCCGTCTCATCATTACAACGGAGCCGCATGATCTATTTCCCACCGTCTTGCTGCGCATGTCTGCAAAGGTGACAGTAGAGGCACCACCGGGGGTGAAACAGAACCTACTGCAATCCTACACCACATGGGATGAGGCGTTCCTAGGCAATAAGACCCAAAAGGCGTCCCAGATGTTGTTTGGTCTAGCATGGTTCCATGCTCTACTACAAGAACGGAGAAATTATGTGCCTCAAGGGTGGGTGAAATTCTATGAGTTTTCGCCGGCTGATTTAAAATCAGCAGCAGACATTCTTGGTGCCTTGCCGCAAGAAACGATGGACTGGACAACGCTTCGCGGTCTTCTGCAGGAGTGCATCTATGGCGGACGCTTAGAGAACCCGCATGATGAGCAGGTGCTGGCGAAGCTGGTCTCGAATATTTTCAACAATGAGGTACTTATTTCTGGCTCAAATAAACTCTATGACAACATTTATGTTCCGGCTACAAACGAACACGGTGCGATTGTGCAGTTTATTCGCGACCACCTTCCCGATACGGACACTCCGGCTATTCTAAGACTCCCAGATAACGCGGATCGTGCGGTGAAGGAGCACATTGCCACGCATCTGCGGGAGGATTTGCGAGCTTTTGCACACCTGGCTCAGGTCAGTGTGTCGGCAACAGAGGCCTGGCGCACGCTGCTCATTCCCGTTGCAGAGATGTGGAATACCAGTGGTATAACGGTGCAGAAGCATCTTCCCTCAATTCCCGTGGAAGACGTTAACCCAGATCCCATGGTTATCTTCTTTGTGAATGAGGTGGGTCTGCTAGCTGACATCATTGTGGATCTCTCAGCGACCTTTGATGACCTGCGCTGCGTCGCGGACGGCGCGCTCATCCCGTCGTCAAGGCTGCGTGCTGAGGCGACAGAGCTCATTGGCGGCCGTGTGCCACCCCGATGGCTCGACATGATGGATGGTCCAAAGGAGGCGAAACTCTGGCTAGCGCTCCTGCAGCGGCGTATGACGGCTATGCTTGACTATGCGAGGCGCCCCTTTTCTCCGTCAGCGGCACCGTTCGATTTGATGGACTTTTTGCGGCCGCAAACCTTTCTCAACGCACTGCGGATGTACACCGCACGCGCCACCGGCAAGGGCCTTGTCGATTTGACGCTCGTCGCCGCGGTTGGCGGAGGCGGTGCGACGGACGGACTTGAAGTTGGCGTCACCCTCAAAGGTGCTTCCATTCACGTCCAGGGCGCAGTGCTTGACGCTCGTGGTGGCGTGGTTATGGCGTCAGCGAATTCCCCATCTTCGACGCCGCTGATGTCTGACGTTCGGGCGGGATGGGTACGCGCGAAGAATATGGACGGTGTGGTTCGCATCCCCCTCTACACAAACGCTGAGCGCACCACCACAATTCTGGATTTGTTGGCCCCATGCGGCGCAGATGTGGCAGAGAAACTGCTGCTCGGGGGGGTGGCGGCGTTCCTCATGTCAGTCTAGAGTTAGCGAAGGGGCAAGCGAGCGAAGCAAGACCCAAAAAACAAACAAACAAACAGAAAGACAAAGAAACAATATATGGAAAAAAAAGACTGCCCCAATGTACGTAGAAGGGTCCCCTTTGTTGTCTTTTTCTTTTTTTTTGGGTCTCTTCCTTTATTTTTTTTTTGTTTTTACGGAAAGGGGAGCCATGTGATAACTGCTGTTTTCCTTGTAAATCCTGCGGGGCGTCGCACCGGTGAGACGATGCCATGAGGTGGTGAGTGGTGCCGGTGGTTGATGGTGTCCTTTTGTCGATTCCTTTTTGTCTGCCGGGAAAGCTCTTTTAGCACCAAAGAGACAGACACAAACAGAGGAGAAACACTACGCTGAAAAATAAAAATAAAAAAAAGATATCTATATATAAATTGTGTTCGAATAAAGAAGACACGCCATAAGAATTGTAAGGCAAAAAAAAAAAATGGACACATTTGAGGGATTCGCAGCGTTGCTTGGGAGTTGGTTTGAGATGCATAGTCTTCCCAAACACCTGCAAGAGCAATTATACAAGAAGCTGCGAGACGAAGTCTTTGACGCTGGTGCTTTCTTCTCTCTGGCCGCTCTCGCCGAGGAGGAGGGGGAGGAGGAGGAAGATGCTGAAGGAGATGGCGAAGAAGCACCGCAGCCGAAGCCAGAAGAAGGCTCAACGTATGTTTTGGTTTCGACAACAGACGTTGTGGCAAAGAATGACATTTGGCTCGTTGATCATTGCTGCACCTTCAAACTCCGCGAATTTCGAAGCCACTTGGAGGAAAACGAAGCCCTTCGCGCTCGCTTGGGAGGCATACTTGCGCTAAAACTTTCCCACACCAACGCAAAGGAGGATGCACAAAAGATTTTCGACCACATGTGGAAGAAGGTTGGGTCGTATCGGCTTCCTGGGTCATCTGATGAAGGAGACTCGCAGTACGACAGCACTTGGTACATCCATGACGAGGTTGGAAGTGCAATAACAGTGGTGACGGACGTGCCCGGGAACATGAAGTTGGAGACGTTACCCATCTTGTTTCCAAAACGAGGTGGAGGTTATTCCGTCATTTGGTGTGTTGAGGACATGGAGGCGGGAACGATAGCCACACGAAAGGTGGAGACGGTGCTGGAGGCTGTCGGGGGGCAGGAGGTGGTGACACTCTTGTACGGGCCAGGGGAAGAGGGTGGTGAAGAGGAAGAGAAGAAGGCGTACTTGGATGCCAAGTGTGCCTGTGTTGAGGCGTGGTGGAGATTTGTGGGCAAGCTGGAGGCCGTCTCTCTGACCAGCGGCGCTGCCCCAGGTCAATCTCACCCGACCCTGCCGGTGGTGGACAAGTCAGAGCTTCCACTGCGCGTATTTACAGACAGTAAGCTGGTCTCAGAGTACCTCACCGATGCCTCAGAGTTTCTCCTGGTTGACTTGCCGCAGGAGGCGCACGTGGTATGGATTTCCCATGACCCTATTGAAGACCTCGGTGCGTACCGACACGCCCAATTTATTTCCCAATTTCCAGAAGAGCGCATCTTTACAAGCAAACAGGGGCTGTTGCATCTTGTTCAAGAGAATTTTGGATATGCAGACTGGTACCAAGTAAGCTACGATTCAACCTCGCAGCTCCGTGAATTCATTGGAGATTTTATGGTGCGGCAAGAGCGTTTGGAGGCTAACGCGGGAAAGGACAGTGCAGTGGTTGCAAACGAGCGATTTCAGCATTTGCGCCACAGCGATGGCACTAATCTCTGGATAACCAAACCTGCGAACATGGCACGAAGCATCGACATGACGGTGTCTCCCAATCTTGATGCGCTGCTGAAGGCAATGGAGACGGGTCCAAAAACGGTATGCAAGTACATTGCAAACAGCGCGACGCTGCGGCAACGAAAATTCGATCTCCGCTTCATTGTGGCCGTGCGGTCGTTTGTGGCGGAGCACACGCCTATGGAGGCCTACGTCTACAATGTGTTTTGGACTCGTTTTGCATTGGAAGATTACACTCTTGACGAGTTTGACCGGTATGAAAAGCACTGGACGGTGATGAACTATGCCAACCCTGAAAAACTGCTGCAGCTGCACGACCGTGACTTCATTCTGGAGTTCAACGAGGAGTGCGCTGCAAAAGGGTGTGGCCCTTCTGCGTGGGAACAGGTTGTCTACCCTAAGATTTTGGCAATGCTTCGCGACGCATTTGGCATGATTAGAATGAACGGTGCCAGTCATGATCGCTGCCGCGCCATTTACGGCGTGGACGTCATGCTGCGGGAGTCCCCGGCCGGCCCGCAAGGCGCCAAGACATTTGAGCCCTCCTTGCTAGAAATAACGTACAGCCCCGACTGCCAGCGAGCGTGCAAGTTTCACCCCGAATTCTTCAACGACGTCTTCCGGACGCTTTTTCTCGGCAAGCCCACGGGCGTGACTCGGCTTTAAAGCGCCCGCCCCGCCCGCTTGGCAGGCAGCGCGGGGGAAAGGCCCCCGCTCCTCCTATTTTAATTTTTTTTTCCATCACTGGGTGAGGGGCGGGGCGCGCCCCCGACCACCGCCGCCGACGCAGCCCCCTCTTTTTTCCCCCTCTTTTGTCCGTTCTTTAGGGGAGGAGGGGGGGGTAAGGGATGAGGGGGCGGGGGCGCCGGCCCCCCCACCCCCCGCTGCGCCCTGCGGCGCAGGCCC